CACACACACAGAGAGAGAGAGAGAGAGAGAGAGAGAGAGAGAGAGAGGCCCCTCACACGGGCCAGGCCACACCGATGTGACAAGGCACAGAGAAGGGATTCTGGTGCACCCAGTGCTCCCAGACTGGCCTCATCGACGTCCTAGGTTGTGTCACTCACCCTGCCGCCCTCTTACCCCGAAATCTACTCACCTTAATGTTGCTGAAGACCGAACGGGAGCAACCTCTGGCTGGGACAGAGGAGGTGCCGCTGCCCTGGCGCGCTACGGGCTTGGGCAGGAGCCCCATCGTGACTGAGGCGACGTCCCCGGGCCGGGCCAAGGTGGTCGCGGCAGGCCGTGGTCAGGTTCTGCGGGACTCCGGTGCTTCGGGCTTCAGCGGCGGTAGCGGGGCGATGGGGAGCGCGACGCGGAGACTGAGCAAGAGAGTGAGCGCCCAGAAGTTTTTATAAGTGGCGGCCGATGATGAAACGCGCTCTCTCTCCTCCCTCGCTTCCTTGGGTGTCAGAGGTGCTGCTAGCCCCCGCCCAGCCGCTGCCGCCTTCCCCAGGCAGGTGTCTTGGGCCCTGGAGTCGCGGCTGTGGAAGCCCAGAGGCTCTGGGACTAGACCTGGGTGAGCCCTGGCTGCTTATCAGGTCCTGCTGGCCGGGGGATGGGAGTTGGGGGTAGCGTGCCGGGAGGTGGCGGTCCCCGAGGAAGGAGTGACCAAGGATGGAGGAGACAGGAGGCTGCAGGCCAATAGAGAGACCTGGGGAGTTAAGGTAGGCGCGGCACTGAGGAAGAGATGGGAAGCTAGAGTGGACTCGAGGAACACGGAGTGGTGGAAGGGAGCGAGGAGTCTCTGTGGCTCTTGGGGTTGTCCAGAGCCGGGCTCTGCGTGTCTGCACTCGCTCCCCAAACCTGGGCCCACGGTTCCGGTGATGGCTCTGAGACTCGCCGCCCAAGCTCTGTTTGTGCCGAGGACTGATTTATATTTAAACTGCTCTTTGCGCTGCAGAGGAGGGTGGGAAGGCGTAACAAGGTGGAGAGGTGGGGGCCGCCCCAGGGCTGGGCTCGAACTCACTGGAACGGAGCCAAGGTAAACTGCAAGCGCTGTCGAGTGTCAGCGGGTCTGGCCTGAAGTGCTGGGGGGTTGGGACAAAAGGAAGCGCTGGTCTGACAAGGGATTGCCCCCGCACTGACCTCCTCTGCAAGGCTGGAGTGAGCAAGATATTTTTTCCTCTCCTGGACTCGGACCTTAGAGAAAAAAGGTGAGCCTTTTCCAGAAAAAGCCAAAGGAGATCCAGCAAAAGCTCTTGAGGCAGTTGGGAGGAGGCATCCTTCCAGCTTCCTACTCTATTGTCTTCTGTACAACCACCTCTTCCAGCCCGGCCCAGGAAAAGATGCTGTCAATATAGGAGACACGACCGGGCGAAGGATGGAGCCCACGGCTTCGTTATTTCTGAAGGCCGATGTTTTTCCGATTCTGGTCTGGTCTGACGGTCTGGGGACTTCATCCTACGCACTGACAAGCAGAGGCCAAGGACTCCGGACACAGCAACAATCCAGAGGCTGTTGGACAGTGGACAACTTCTGGTTGCTTTGTTCACCCGCAGAGGCTTTCCAGACCCACAGCAAGCTTGACCACCATGGAACACAGGCAGACAGAGGTGACAGTGTACACTGGGCACAGAAGGCCACATCCATAATGGGTTGTGCCTGATGCTCTGCGGATTTCTTCTCCCACCAGCGCTTGATCTAAGTGAGAGGTGCTGTGACGATCTGGACTTTACAGGCGAGGAGATGCTAGTGGGATCAGTTAGAGGGACCAAAGCCACAAAGCAAGGAAGTAAGAGAGCTAGACCCAGAACTCAGCTTTGCCTGATGCCAAAGCCCAGCAACTATGAAGCACTCTTGTGTAGAATGAAGAAACAGTGGAGCCAGAGGACAGCCCCAAGCGTTTCTCAGATGTCCATCTTGTTTTTGAAAAGGAGACTCACTGGCCTGGCATTGACCTGGGGCTAGCCAGCAAGCCCCAGGGATCCACCTGTCTCTGCCTCCCCAGGCCTGTGATTATAAGTGCACCCAGCCATAATTGTTCTCTTTGATTACATGGGATTGAACTCAGGTCCTCCTGCTTGCAAGGCAGGCCAACTACTGACAGCTATCTCTCTAGCCTCAAGCACTTATAGAGTTATCTAGTGCAGCAATCGCATTTCACCACGGGGCCTCAGTGATTAGAATTTCTTCCTCAACATGTGGCCTTCCAGTGTGGTTCTTCTAGTAGACACCCAGGGAGAGAATCCACCTCTCCTATGTAAATGCTGTCCTGCTCCTTTAACTTTGCCCTCTGCCTGGTATCATGACCAGTGTGTCACCTCTAAAGGAAGTGTTTGTTCAGAATTGTTATCAGGGGAGTCCGACCAGACCGCAGTGACTTCAGTGAGACATACTTGTCTGTGCATTAACTGATGATATGGATATTTCACGGTATGGTTAAGGGGAGGTTTTTGTTGTAGATGTGAGGGAGAGAACAGACAGAGGCATCAGGAAGGGCCCAGAGCAGAGAGAGAGTACTAGACTGAACATGGCTAGCAGCCCAGACCTGAGCATGAGAGAATCAGAGGCAGAGAAGAGAGACAGAGAAACCTAGAGAGGGGGAAGAGAGGGGGAGAAGAGAGATGGGTATGGGGAAGACAGAGAGAGTGAGGTGGGGAGGGTCAAAAAGGAGGGAATGTAACTGAAACTGCAGGGGACCAATGGGAATGAGTAGCTAGCCTTTGTCTAACCACCAGGATTTGGGGAAATGGAGTTCTCTTTGGACTAACAGTCTGTTGTAAGAGGTTGGCTGTTGGTAGTTAGAGGGTCATGACATGACGCCCTCAGGGTTCCTTGTGTGGCTCCCATGATTATGGCTAGCTCATGGTCACAAGATGGCTGCTCTTCCTCCAGCCTTCTCTCTTTATTTCAGGGAAGAAGTAAAAGACAGGAAACAGGAAAGGGCCAGGCTTACAGCAGAAAAACAACTTTTCACACACAGACTTTGCCTTAAATCTTGTTGACTGGACCACAAAGTAACCCCCTACAAAGGACTAAGAAATAAGCTTCACACGAATGTTGCCCTCTGGTGTAAAACTGAAGTTCTGTTAGGGAAAAGAAGAGAAAGGGTGTTGTTGTCTCCACATGGAGCTATCCATGTCCTCAAAATCACCAGAATCTCTGCTGAACTTTCCATCCTTTGGTTTCAGAAAATATTTTCTAGTGCTAAAAACACAAGAGCCCAACCCCAGGGCACAGTTGCAGGCCCTGGCCACTAAGCCATTCTGTCCCTGTGGGGAGAGTAGAGAGAAGGCTTCGGCCATATTACAGAGTGATTGAGCACAGGAGATGCAAACATGCAAGAGGGCCCCAATGTACACAGGACAGCAGGAGGGCCTATCTGAAGAGGTGACTGTCAAGTGACACCCTAAGAATAAGGATGATGAAGGATAGAGGGAAGGAAGGAGTCACTCTGGAGTCACTCTGGCTGGAGTACAAAACCAGGGACAGCAAGGATACGTGAGGCTGGGGAGAGACTGGAAAACCAAGTGGCTTGCTAAGAATGGAGGCCTTATTATCCCTAGAGCACAGGGACAGCCATTGAAAACTTCTGAGTAGCAGGGGCTCTGAGCTGATTTGCACTTCCCATGAGCCTCTACACAACCAGATGAGAGAGGAAAAGGGGCAAGATCTGGAAAGAGTTCCAGGAGCAGAGATAGAAGCTTGGACTACACAAGAGGTAGGGAGAAAAAATTCAGGGAATACTGCAGGGAGATAGCACTCATGTAGTAGTGGTACACACGTCGGTGAGGAGTCCCACCACTCAGCTTGCACACAGTGTTTGCCATGTTCATCCTCAGCAGAGGGGACCCAGAAGGACTAGCAGCCATGGGGGAAGCCAGTGGTGTCCTAAGGATTCACTTTGAGTTCACCCAGTTTGAATTACATACAGGTAAAGACGGGCAAGTGGATTCTGAATATCTAGCCTTATGCCCACAGATAATTGTAGCTCTTGTCTGTCATCAAATAAACTTATCTGTGCAACAGATGGACATCATTATAGAAAACCACCGCTGGTCAAAGTGCAGAGAGCAAATGATTGTGGGTGTTAAGTCGCAGGTGATACATCTGCAACACAACTCTTTCACTGAAGACTCACAGAACATTCTGGAAGATGTGGCAGAGCCCTTGGTTCTAAGAGCCAGAGGATCAGGAAACCTACTGAGACGGTCTCCTATCAAGCTCCACTCTTGATACTCAACAATATGGGTGTCTAAACAAGACCCGCCTGAGGATGACAGCCACAGACATGCTAACACAGAGACAGGGAATCTCACAGTGCCCTACCCATAGGCAAAGAACTATTGGCAGCTAAGGAATGCAGAGAGTGGGAGAAATAGTCTTCCCCAAGGAGAAGCCTTATCCTTGGTTACCCAACGCCAAACAGTCAGCCCTGAAATCATATACATACAAGTAACACCAAAAGCAGGACTGAGCAGGTTGGGTTTACATTTATATATTTACACTCTGTGTGTGTGTGTGTGTGTGTGTGTGTGTGTATAACAACAAAGGAGCTGGGCGGTGGTGGCGCATGCCTTTAGTCCCAGCACTTGGGAGGCAGAGGCAGGCAGATTTCTGAGTTTGAGGCCAGCCTGGTCTACAGAGTAAGTTCCAGGACAGCCAGGGCTACACAGAGAAACCCTGTCTCAAACAAACAAACAAACAAACACAAACAAACAAACAAACAAACAAAAGGAAAAGAGGCCATGAGTTTGAGAGGGAGCAGAGGAAGAGTTGGAGGGAATAGACTAACAGGGAAAAGGATATTATAATTTTTTTAAATTAAATAAATACTTTTTAAAGTGGGCAGCTGGTGGGTGGCTATGCTGACTCAATGCCCAGGATAGACACAGAAGTTAAGAAAAGGGTGGGTGGAGGTGATGCTAACCTTCCAGGAAGGATGAAGTCTCCCGGTGAGGATGTGAGGAGAAGGGCATCGAGAAAAGCCTGCAGAAACATCTGCCCAAGAGATAGAACCAGAGCGGAAGGAGGTAAGCCAGGGAGAGAGGAGTGGGTAGAGCCCAGAGGTCATGTTCAAAGAGGAAGACTGAAGACTGTCCGTGCTGTGAACAAGGTGTGACCTGAGGGGCAGCTACTGAGCTGGCCGGTCCTGCAAGGACCCAAGCAAGGGTGTTAACAGTGGATGATACGGTGGAAGGCCAGATTCTATGGGTCCAGGAGAAAAGGAGAAAGCGTAAATGCAGTGTTCCTGATGGTTTAGTTAGTCACAGGTCACGACTGGGTCAAATGGTGTGATGGCTAAAGGCACAAGTCTTTCTTGTATATGTTTTACTATCTTAATTACTTTCTATTTGTCCTTTCTCTCTCTCTCTCTCTCTCTCTC